ACTGGGGGCTTATCTGGCGTTGTCTCTCCATGACCGGTTTCCCTGCTTCTGTTTGCCTCTCTCGATGCTATCGGGAGGGGCGATAGCTCTAGAACAATGGGATTTTCCGCATCGCTGTCCTCTTCGCTAACTACTTATCGTCTCTGTGATAGTCTCTAATCACACATTTGATGCGTAAGATTATTGAGTGTTGGTTTGATATTTTTAATAGTCTCAGAGAAGACAATATTGTTAGATATAAAGACTTGTCCCCTTTTGTTAAGGAGTATATAGTTTATACTGCCTTAATAGCTGAGAAGCTGGCAGGGAATACTCTTTGACTGTATCTTCTTTTATTTAGAGGATAGAAGCAGAGCCTATCCTCGTAAGCCAAGAACTCGCAGATAGCTAAGGTTAGGAATATCTCTATACCAGGCTTGGTATAAGATAGTGGAAATGCTTGCCATAGGACAGAGATTTCAGATGCGGTTTACTGCCTTAAGGAAGTATGGCTACTATTTTAAAGCAAGTCTGGATTTAAGCAGTGTTAATATAAGTTTTTCTAGGATAATTTAATTAAGGACTTTAGCTAATCTATTTTATTCATGCTATTTAGTTCCTGTATAGGAGAGTTTAATTCCTCTGTCCCGGCATAGTTAGGTCAGGCTATAGCTTTGGTTCTTTCCCCCTTGGTTAAGGTGCAGGAAGTAATATTATCTTTCCGGTCTCTCGAACTATAGCAACAGATAATAGAAATACTCTTTAAACTCTAACCATTCTTTAACTAGGTACACCTAGGACATTTAAGTAAAGTTATTAATAAGGCAAACCCAGTACCTACTTCTATCTACTCCTATATCTAGGAATGGTCTGGTAATATCTGCATAAATACACTCCAGAGGGTAAGTGCCTTTCTTAATTAGTTAGACATAGGGACATTCCCTGAGTTTGCCTTATATACAGGCTCCACATGGGTTTAAGGTAGAATCATCTGGTCGAATTCCAGTAGACATCTTCATCAGTCTCTTAATATTCCTCTCTCCCAAATATACAAGTCGCTCATGCCAAAGGTATAGTCAAGGATCTCTCACCGAAAAGGAGGCCAAAGCGGTTTAAAAATAATCTTCCTCAGCTTTATCGACCATATAGACACCTGAGATTCTTATCGCAGTAAGGACGACTTTTCCCTTATTTGTGACCTCTGCCTTTCTATTTCAGAAGACAACCTCTGCACCCTTCTTCTCTAGTGCTAATACGGATAAGAGGTTAGCATATCCTTCTGGAATATATAGAGCGCTATTAAGGGTAACGTTATATGACCCCTTAGGCCCTTATACGCGGAGGCAGTATGTTCTATATCCTCCTGGTATGACTTTTGCGTCTGCAATGCCGTTAATAGGTAATCCATAGTACTTTTAAAGGACTATAAAGTTCTTATATCGGCAGAAAATATGCAAGGAGGCGCCACTATCTAAGACGTAGATCCATTCAAGGGCCCGAGTTTAGAGGGATGCCTGGAGACCAGACGGTCTGAATGATGAGCCAATTAATCCAAGGTGACCTTGGAAGTCATTTTGCCAGAGAGCTAGTCAAGCTTGATTAGGTTAAAGGTATGCAGGAGTTATATACGTAGCAGATTCCAGTTTATTAATCGTCTTCTCCCTATCCTTCTCTTGACTTTATATTTTCCGTTATTATCTCTTATAACCAGCTTTGCTATGCTCTCTTCTGAGTTCGGGGTAAAGCTTCTAGCAAGTTGACTTATTATGCCCTTTTCTTCTACAGTATCTATAGCATGGGGTGCCCTGGGCCACCATGGCTCTATGTATAATCCTTGTAGTGGCTCCTCTTTGTTTGTCCTCTTCCTGAGATGCGGCAAAGATGGCCGTTTTAAATATAATGGCCTCTTTAAGAATAATATTATAATTGTTTAGATCTCGGATAGGAAGAATATTATAATTCTGATTAAATACAGTGAGGAAGACTTTATAGTCTAGGCTAAGTCTGCAGAGGAACTTGTTAACAAAGTGTGGTTCCCCTATCTGGCAGATTTCATCCATCTCCAAGAGTTCAGCCCTTACTTAATGAAGCTTATTTGCGTATTCCATAACCGAATCGCAAGAGTCAAGGGTGAGTTCTTGATATCTTTGGTCGAGCTCTTAGAAGATGGCGCTTCTAATAGGGTGATACCGGGTTTTAAGGTAACTAATTATACCCTGTGCTATCGGGATCCCCATGGTAAATACTTAGGCGTTATAGCCGAGTTAACTTCAAATAGCGCTATATATTTGATCCTGGCGGCTCCTCCAGGCCTTAATCTGAGTTACGAGATCATTCCCCTCTGTTAGTAGTTAAGCATGTATTCCTAGTCAGAAGATCTCTATATCTATATATATCCAGAAGGTCAAGCATTTCTCTCTTCCAGGTTAGCCAGTAGCTGGTTTGCTCTAGCTTTAGAATAGTGCCAGAGCTGCCCACGAGGTTAAGAGATTCCTTGGAGAGGGACATAATGGATTCTCGGGGAGGCTAACAATTAAGGTACAGAGGGATAGATAGTTATCGACAATTCTTTAGTTGAGGCTTGGGGGGGAGTCTTTCCTTCGTTAGGCAACATGATAATGCTGCATAGATAGGGGTTATCCAAGCCGGGTAGAGATTATCCGAAAGGTAAAACATATAGCAGTCTTAGTTATTTGTATTATTCCCGCTGTTAGGAGAAGAGATAATGATCTGAGGTCGACCATGTTATAAACCACGTTTCAGGCGGTCTTGGTCTATGAGGGCGCAGGTTACCCGACCGAGGAGCTTTAACAATCTTAGACAAAGGGACTGATCTAGTTGGGCAAGTTTGTTAGCCAGATTATAATCTAAAGTCTCTTAATTATTTGAGATTAATGATTTAAATTCGGTGTCTTAGATGGAGGGTCAAAGGGTCCTTCTAGAAAGGTTTCTAGACATATCCTATTAGTTGATTTCTAAACTCTATAAAATATCCAATAAAGGAAAAATAGCTCCAGGTAAGCTAAATATATATGCGCAGTAGAAGGAAGCCTTTCGACTTTTTATACTATCTAGGAAAATTAGAAAAGAAGATAGAAAATACTTAGCTTTGCGGTTAGAGAAAAGGTAGTGCCCTCCGGGCTTATAACCTGTTAAAGTAAAAGGGTTGATTGTTGTTATTGTTAGTTCTAAGTTATATATGTCTGAGAGGAGCACAGCTCCTTATATAGTATCCATATCCTAGCCACCAGCAGATCGGACCACCTTAGCCATACTGTCTCAACATATCCATACCCTTCGCCTCCCCGACCCAGAGACCCTGCCGGTACGGTCTGACGGATCCTCACCTCACCCTTCCTCCGGAGTACTGTGAACAAGCTACATTTAATCGCCGCACTCAACGATGGTCTATGTGCGCAAATGGAAGGTCTGTTACGGCTGTGGCCGATCCGAACCTTACTCTTCTATTCTAGATCGTCGCCTCCCCCTGTTCGTCGGTTGCCCCTTGTAAATTGCCTCATACCCCAACGCCCGTTCTATCTCCGACGGAAAATCTAAACTCCAGTCTCCTATGGTATTCCTATATTCTCTTTGCAGTCTGTCTAACCGGTGTTCTTAGAGTTTATCGCCTAGAAGGATTTTTGTTTTTTGACCCAATGAAAATTACTAAAAACATTCTAATCTCTATTTGCGCCTTGCATCCCGCTTTCTTCATCATTTCTCATGGTCAATCCCAATTCCAGACCAAACCCCCGCCAAAACGTTGCTTGCGAAATACGATTACACCCTTGTCACTTTTTTCTCCAGCTACTACAGAGAATAAAACACGGACGCTGATCCCACTTGCCCCAACCCCTAAGCTTACGCGTGCGCGTGTAAGTCTACTTTGGCTCCCCGGTAAGACAAAGTTTGTAATATTACAGGGACTGCCTTCACGGCATTTCCTGCTTATCCGACGAGCGTGCAGACCATTTCATAATGACAACAGAAACGCGATGACGGCAAAGCGCAGCAGCAATGGCGGGCGGGTCGAAAGAAGGACCGAGCAGCAGAAGTTTGGCGGCTGCTATGATAAAACGCCACGTCATTTTGGATCATAGCTGGCCCGTGCACGCAATCGCTTCCTCAGACCAATAAAAGCAGAGGTCGCCCTAGCAACGTGGGTTCGCGTGATATCAACACTTTTTATCACAGCTACTGGTCCTGTTTACATTCAATACAAATTCATTTTATTTCCTATAGAACAAACACCGACAGCGATACCTTATGGCCCACCAGAGGAGCGTGGGGGAGCTGGAAAAGCTCCTTTAAGAGGCGGTACAGCGCGCCGAGGAAGCAGAGAGAGAACGACAGGAGGAGCGGCAACGCGCCGAGAGAGAACAGCAACGCGCCGAGGAAGC